TTACCCCCAGGATTCTAGGGGGGGGTATTTACCCCCAGGATTCTAGGGGGGGGTATTTACCCCCAGGATTCTAGGGGGGGGTAAATAACCCCAATAACCCCCCTTATATCCGCCACTGCAGAAACTATCCAAACTACTTAATTTTACCGAAACCTATCCAAACTTCTTTAGTTCACCAGAAACTATCCAAACTACTTTAGTTTACCAGAAACTATCCAAACTCCTTTAGTTTACCAGAAAATATCTAACGTTAAATTAAGATTTTTATGTTTTTGAACTGTGGTATAAAGTCTCAAATTACATATATTTCAACATATTGCATCTATGAAATATTATAGACATCCTGGGCATTGCAATACATGCTCATGAAGGCGGCGCATAATTATTAAGTTTTAGTGGTTTATGAAGCGAAAGTACAATTTTTACCGGTCATTTGAAGTAAATGATTATAAAGTCCATGATATGGAATTTATTTGCGAAACATATATGTCAGAAACTTTCCCAAAAGTTCTACGTTTCATAAGCCTTAATAAGATCTGAAAATCTCCCCCCCCCCCCAGCCCTTTGGAAAGGGCACTAAATTATTCTCAAATCAATATTTGCAGTAAGTTGAATACACCTTAGAATAGATAATATTATCCCCTTTTGCATGTCAGATACTAGTTATTCATTTATAACATTAAGTTCACACATTCTGGTTTGTCATCGTGACTTTCATCTTATTCAACTTAATTCAGATCTTTAGTTTCATTTTATTGCAAAAATCAAGAAACAAAATTATTTTTTTAACGATACAATTATTAGTTGAATTTAGCAAAGGTTAAAGAATTTTTAATGGCCCTTAAAGAGATGTGTTCAATTCATGAGGGTACCCAAATTCTTTGGATGGAGTCTTTGCCAGAAAAATAAATTTTCCAATCCCGATATCTTTGCAAACTGATGGTGGAAACTTCATATTTTAAAATTAGATTATTTGATCTAACAGAATTCACAGATTGATATGTTCAAGGTCTACGAAATTGGGTTGCAAAGATATAGGGATTAGAAAAAACATAGTTTGTAGCAAAGACTCAATTCCTTTAATACAGCTGTGCGAAGTTTAGAGAATGAGCCTAAAATGTACATTCCTTCCAGATAGAACAGTACCACTGTTTTATTGTACAAAGTTTAGAAAATATGTACAAAATATATATATGTACCTCTGTTATTTGGATGAGTGAAGTTTAGAAAATGTGTATACAAAAGGTTATGTTAATAATGATATATATGATCTGCACCTCTGTTGTACTGATCGGATGTTTGGAAAAAATGTACATAGTACTTAATATTTAGATAGAACCGCACCCCTGTTGTGCGGATCGGATTAGTAAAGTTTGGAGAATGTGTACATTATGTACATAATGTTTAGATAAAGCTCTACCCCTATTGTAAGGATCAGATAAGCAAAGTTTGAAGAATGTGTACATAACGTACATAATAATTAGATAGAACAGAATTTCTGTGGTACGAATCAGATTTGCAAAGTTTGGTAAATGTATTGCATAGTACTTTATGTTCAGATATAACAGTAACTCTGTGGTATATATCAGATTTGCATGAGGACATGAGGTTAGCGGGATATAAAATATATACGGGTACATGAGGTAAGCGGGAATTTAAAATATATACGAGGACATGAGGTTAGCGGGGATATAAAATATATACGAGGACATGAGGTTAGCGGGATAAAAAATATATACGAGGCAAAAGCTTAGCGGGGACATAAAATATAACCTCCCGCTCCCCTCTGTGTTAAATTTGCTTCTTCAGGGTTTTTATTTATTTTTTTCATGTGAAAGTTTTTTTCATTTTTGTTTGCTTTGAAGAATGTTAATGGACATTTTAATAAACTTGAACCCGGTTTTAATAAAAAATATCAGCTCTTATTCAGTATGAGATTTAATTCTCTATGTATAGCAACATCGATTATTTGGCAGAATTCTTTTTAATATTTTCACAAATACAAGGTTTAACAGAACTTAAAGCTTGATTTCTGTAGTAAAGAAATTGTATCTTTACCACAAACTCAAATTTTCTAATCCTTATATCTTTGCAACCTGATGGTGTACACCTTTGATATTTCAAACTTAGTTGATGTGATCTAAAGTCTGTGACAATCGGTTGCAAAGATATAGGTATAAGAAAATCAAAGTTTGTGGCAAAGATTAAATTCCTTTGTTCTGAAAAAAATAAGGAACAAGAAAAGATCAAGAGAAGTTCAAAGTTGAGAATAAACATTTTCAAATCCGGTAAAAAGAGTTAGACCTTTTGAAAAATGACAAGAACTTCATTACAATAATTCATGATATGCTTTTTTTTTGCCTTTAGTTAATTACTGATCTTGGTTTCCATTTTACGAACTGTTAAGGGTTTAATTGGGGGAGGGGGTGGGGAATGTGGGATTTAAATATTGAAGGGAATGTTACCGTAATGTTTAAGTGACCCTCCATGCAAAGATAGCAACGCCCGATTTGCACCGGTACCCTTAAAACCTCAATCTGATCAAACATGTGGAAGATAGCGTCGTTTTATCTGACTCGAATTTAAGTGTTTATTTCCGTGAATTTTTACCTTGCTTCTGAAAATCAAGAAAGTGTAAGTCCCTTTTGCAGAGAAAATCAAATAAAAATAAACAGCTCAGATAAATAAAAACATGGACATAAAATTCATGAGTGATCAGACAAAGCTTTCAAGAGTAGCATTGTAAATCAGGCATTGCCATCTTTGCATGGAGGGTCACTTGAAATTACGCTTACAGTCCCTTTAAGGTGCGTTCATCCTGAATTTAGATTAAACAGCTTAATAATGCTAAAATTATTTGATGTTTTTTGCATGCTAAAACTGCATTAACACAAGAATAAGTTATTATTAAAAACAGATCCATTTTATGACATTTAAACCAACTTCACATTCTTTAAAGAAACGTATTTTCTAGATAAATTTTTTGAATAAGAAACAGCAATCTTGAAATAATTATATTTTCTTCACTTTAAAGTACCTGAAAGTTTTAGATTATTCAATACTAGCCGAAGTGCCCGGCGATGCCCTTAAAAAACGCATCTTAGTTAAACAAATTTTGAAAAAAAAAATTTGAATTTTTTTAGCCTTTGTTACCCCGGCCGGGGTTTCCTCAAAAAATGTCAGCCCATTCGGTCCAACTGTTTCGCCGGCTATAGGAACATATGTATATACGAATGTCTTGTTTAATTATATATAGATAAATGTTTATTTTTAATGATTTTGCGAACTTATAATTCCTCCAGTAATTATTTTACCGCGAAAACTAAAATAAGAGAAAAAATAGTTTCTTTTCAATATCACTATGAGCTAAATCTACGTAACTATCAGAAGTCTCAAATTAAAAAAATAAATTGAAGAATATTTGATTCTTCAAATGTTTCATCAAGATTTAGCTTAAGAAAATGCGAAAAGAGGAAGAAAAAATGGAAATTTCTTTATTTGTAAATCTTAAAGAAATGTTCATGGCTTGGCTCCAGATGAGGGTGGATCCAGGATGAGACTTAAATGACACCTGAAATTCTTTAAATATGACATTTTGAAGGTTGCATTTGGACTTAGTATTTAAGAAGGTTTTGATAAGTCATAAATCATAACCGTAGTTTCGATATAAGTAAAGAATTCCATTTAGTCGTTTCTGCTAATTTGCATATGGATTTCTAATTTGATTAGAACTTTAAAGCACTTAATTTTAGCTTTAGTTTTGAAGAAGAATTGGCAAAATTCTCATCGATTTTGCTTGACATTTTGCAACCTTTGGATCAAAGTGAGTTATTTTGTGCTTGGGGTCCAAGTAGTTCAGCTACCTCTCCTATTCATACAATCTGGTTCCAGGTGCATGGAACTATGAAAGCTAAGTGAAAAAAGTTGTCTCTAAAGGGACTGGTGGTTAAACCTGTGGTATATCGGATACGCACTGAACATTCTATTTATGAATTAATGTGTTCTACCTTGTATCATCTTGTTTATTTACCAACCCTGAGCTGAAAACTTTAGAATAGTGGATATCGAGATTAATGCTTGATCTCCTCTTTTTCTTAATCTCCAGATTAAATAGTGATTGTTCTCCTCTTGTTATTAATCTCCAGATTAATTTACCTATCGGGATTAAGGATATTCCATTCTAAAGTTTTCAGCTCTGTAGAAATAAAAAATAAAAGATCTGTGGACGGTTCAGGGAGAAAATTGTTTCAGTAACTTTATTTTAAAGTTAGTTTATTTTGGGCAAATTTTGTCAGTTTATTGGAAAAACAAACTTGTTTTCTTGCAAACAATATATATATTGTTTGCTATAAGTTATACCTCTAATAAATACAAGGAAAAGAGGGTCGAGGGGATGAATCCTTGATGACAGTTGATTAATTAATGTTTATTTTGTTTAATCTTTTTTTAAATAGGAGTTTCTATCATCTTATGTCCTGTCTGGTACTCTTTATCTTGTATCTGTCTAGTCCTGTCTGGTACTCTTTATCTTGTATCTGTCTGGTCCTGTCTGGTCCTCTTTAGCCTGTATCTTGTATCTGTCTGCTTCTGTCTGCCCCCTTTATCGTGAATCGTATATCTGTCTGGTCCTGTCTGGTCCTCTTTATCCTGTATCTTGTATCTGTCTGGTCCTGTCTGACCCTCTTTATTCTGTATCTTGTATCTGTCTGGTCCTGTTTGGTCCTCTTTATCCTCTATCTTGTATCTGTCTGGTTCTGTCTGACCCTCTTTATCCTGTATCTTGTATCTGTCTGGTCCTCTTTAAACCTCTATCTTGTATCTGTCTGGTCCTGTCTGGTCCTCTTTATCCTCTATCTTGTATCTGTCTGGTCCTGTCTGGTACTCTTTATCCTCTATCTTGTATCTGTCTGGTCCTGTCTGACCCTCTTTATCCTGTATCTTGTATCTGTCTGGTCCTGTCTGACCCCCTGTATCCTGTATCTTGTATCTGTCTGGTTCTGTCACCCCTGTATCCTAGATTCCCTAAAACTGGTATCCCCTCCTCCCTCCCTACTCCACCGGATAGAGATGAGTTTCCGAAAATATTTCAATTAGCGGAAACTTAGCAGAACTCCCTAACTATACTAACTATACTCTATACAGGGGTTCAAACTCTTCACTATCTGCTATGTGACTCTATACCCACATCAAGTACACATTAAATTCAAAGATCATAATATATATGTTAACAATGTTTGTAACGAACTAACTACTAAGTTAATTTCGAATAAATTACATTCAATGTTATCTTTAATTCCATGGTTTCCATGTGGTTTCCGCTCCACATTTTTTATCATCCTTTACAGGTTTCCAGCTGGGAAAATTCACGTTTTTTTGTCAAACTTAATCCTATTCATGGAATGTAAATTGGGATTAATATTAGCCTTGTAGAATGTAAAAGTTAGATCAAACCATCGGCAAATATTGCGTAAACAAGCCTGATATTGATCTAAGATTACGAACTTTTATCTAGAGTCTTTTTAACCTTTGTTGGATACTTTTAATGTATTGTTAGATCTTTTATTAAATACCATCTTTTATTACAGAATTTAACCTTTGTTGGATACTTTTAATGTATTGTTAGATCTTTTATTAAATACCATCTTTTATTACAGAATTTAACCTTTGTTGGATACTTGTAATGTATTGTTAGATCTTTTATTAAATACCATCTTTTATTACAGAATTTGTTACTTTACATGTTTTATGTTTGTGTTCATTTCTTTCGAAAAATTATCATTTGTTTAAAAAGTTTTCGCCTGAACATGTTATACTCTAATACCTTTAGGTATTTGATAAATCAAACTACTTATTCTCTTGGATGAAGTTTTTAAAAGTTTTAACCATCAGGTTGCAAAGAAATGCTTCAAATTGTTCATCTATCCAAGCTCTGTCAATCTTTCTCATCTTTCCTATAAACCATATTTTAGAAATATTTTCATCATCGAGAGAACATGGCGGTAGGATGGAGGGTGTAGTAGGGGATCTCAAGGGGAACAAGATGAAAGAAAGAGATAAAATCTGTATTAACATATTTCTATATTTGTATTCAACTAGTGTTTCCATTTGAAAACTTTAAAAGATTATAAAATCAATTTTGTCAACAGTTTTCTTCCAGATGTATCTTCAACTCCTATTGCACAAAGGAAATTTTCAATTATATTTCAAGTGACCCATTATTTTAACAGAGCTGAAAACTTAAGAATGTGATATCCTTAATCTCGATCGGTTAATTAATCTGGAGATTAATAACAAGAGGAGAACAAGCATTATTTAATCTCGAAATTAAGAAAAAGAGTGGATCAAGCATTAATCCCTATATCCACCATTCAAAAGTTCCCAGCTCAGAATGATTCACTAAATTACTCGTTTATTCTTTATTTCAGAAACGATCCTATACGTTAATCATTAAGGGACTGTATGCGTAATTTCAAAGGATTCTCCGCGTGCACAGATGGCATTGGCCGATTTACAACGGTACTCTTAATCCTTATCTTATAAATGATGTGGAAAATATTACCGTTTTTATAGTGTAAAGGTGTTTATTTCAAATCATTTCCATATTTTTTCCTGCAGTAGAAATGCGCAAGTCACTATTGTAGAAAAATCTGTTTTCATATCTATAAACATAGCTATCTAATTCGTACTTGATCAGACAAAGCATTTAAGGGTACCATTGTGAATTGGGCATTGCCATCCTTGCCTGGAGGTTCACTTGAAATTACGCTCACAGTCCCTTTAACCTAGTCCTATATTCTGTTCTTGAAAATTGAATTATAAATTATAAATTAAATATTCTCCCTCCTCTCCTTAAACTTTTATTTTGTATAAAAAGTCTGGGGTTGTCCTTCAAAAGTTTAATTTAGGTGTTAAATTGACCAAGTTATGGTTGGTTGAATTTCTAGCAGATTACATCGAATTCTAATCTTCCAGTTCATTTCCTTAGCTCCCCTCACATACACATATAATTAATATTCAGTCTAAACTTAAACATAGGTTTTAAGGGATTTTCAAAGAGTATTAACCTTCCATTTACAGTTTACATTCTGATTCACAACGGATCCCTGTACAGTTTGTCTGAATAAGGTATCTATCTGAGAGCCGAAAATATTGCTTGTTTTCATCAAAAGTGACTTCTAGATAAATAGATAGAAAGAAGAAACGGGCGCAATTAATCTTTTTTAACGACATATATATAAAATATATATAAAAGATTATATATTTTCGTTATTTTTACACATATAAAGAGGGTTCTATGTGAATGAGATATGTTACTCTGTAAATATATATTTTGAATAACGTCGATCTTTCTTTTAATAACTAGTGAGGAGTACGTACTACGTATATTGAAGGGCTTCATCTGAACCTTAATGGGTATTTTCCTTTAAAGTTACTTAATATAAATTTTCAAATTTAGATTTTTTGTTGTAATTTTTTGTATTGTATTATTCCCTAATTTAAACAAATCTATGTCTACAATCTATGGATCAATATGTTGAAGTAATTTTTCTAAAAACTTTTGTTATTTGAATTTTTTAACCTTTTGGAAACGAAAGCATGAGAGAAGGGAATCAGACAACCATAGTTTTTTTCTACGATTAACTCAGTACAGTTATAATAGTTCACTAGTGCAGTTAATACATTTTTAATCTGAAAACAAATAAATTTATTTTTATTGCAAAATGAGATACATTATAGGATAGGACAATGGAGAACGTAGGATAACCCACAAACTTGGATACAGAATATATACAATACATAGTAGCATGCAGTACAGATAAGGATACAGTACACAGTAGGATACAGTAGAGAGTAGGATACAGTAGAGTAGGATACAGTAGAGTAGGATACATTAGAGAGTAGGATACAGTAGAGTATGATACAGTAGAGAGTAGGATACAGTACACAGTAGGATACAGTAGAGAGAAGGATACAGTATAGAGTAGGATACAGTAGAGAGTAGGATACAGTAGAGAATAGGATACAGTAGAGTAGGATACAGTAGAGAGTAGGATACAGTAGAGAGTAGGATACAGTACAGAGTAGGATAGAGTAGGATTCAGTATAGAGTAGGATACAGAAGAGAGTAGGATTCAGTAGAGTAGGATACAGTAGAGAGTAGGATACAGTACAGAGTACGATACAGTACAGAGTAGGATACAGTACAGAGTAGTATAAAGTACAGAGTAGAATTCAGTAGAGAGTAGGATGCAGTACAGAGTAGGATACAGAAGAGAGTAAAATACAGTACAGAGTAGTATACAGTACAGAGTAGGATCTAGTACGGAGTAGGATCTAGTACGGAGTAGGATACAGTAGAGTAGGATTCAGTAGAGAGTGCGACAGAGCACAGAGTAGGCTACAGTAGAGATCAGGATACAGTAGAGAGTAGGATACAGTATAGAGTGGGAAAGAGCCCAGAGTAGGATACAGTAGACAGTATTAAACAGTACAGAGTTGGATTATAATAAAATTCAAGTAGAACAAAAAGCCTAGATTTTTAATCTATTTTGATTGCATTATTTATTTAATTAACAATTTGTCATTTAATGCGATCCCAGTTTTGTAATTAAAGTTTTCTGTTTAAATATTTATATTTTCTCAGAACCATTCAAACGATCAGCAACTGACATTTTCAAACAGAATTTAATTCTGGGAATATGTATTTATATATAAGATAAATTTGTTTGATTTTAGTTAGGTTTTATACTGTTTTGTTTAGGGTTTAGGCTGGCTGGCTCCTGGTACAACACTACGGGAGATTGCTGCAAATAAGAATAGTGTACTGAATCCACCAGTTTTAAGAATAAGGTAGATTTTATATTAAGAATAATGTACTGATTCCACCAGTTTACTGAATCCACCAGTTTTAAGAATAAGGTAGATTTATAATAAGTGTACTGAATCCAACAGTTTTAAGAATAAGGTAGATTTTATATTAAGAATAGTGTACTGAATCCACCAGTTTTAAGAATAAGGTTAATTTTATAATAAGTGTACTGAATCCACCAGTTTTAAGAATAAGGTAGATTTTATAATCAGAATAGTGTACCGTATACACCATTTTTAAAAATAAAGTAGATTTATAGTAAGAAAAGTGTACCGTATCCACCAGTTTTAGAAATAAGCTAGATTTTATATTAAGAATAGTGTACCGTATACACCATTTTTAAGAATAAGGTAGATTTTATATTAAGAATAGTGTACCGTATACACCATTTTTAAGAATAAGGTAGATTTTATACTAAGAATTGTGTACCGTATACACCATTTTTAAGAATAAGCTAGATTTTATATTAAGAATAGTGTACTGAATTCACCAGTATTTATGAATTTGGTATATTTTAAAGTAAGAATAGTGAATCCACCAGAGAATAAGGTAGATTTTTTAGTAAGAATAGTGTACTGCATGCACCGTTTTCAAGAATTAGGTTGATTTTTTAGTAAGAACAGTGTATGTACCGCATCCACCAGTTTTAAGAATAAGGTAGATTTAATAACAAGAATAGTTTATTTATACCCCATTTTTATAATAAGGTAGTTTATATAAATTTAGGCCTGCAGGGCGCTTCGTGCCCCTCTTTCTATTTTTAGTTTTCTTTGTTGCAGTTCTATCTGCAAACCTTAATACGTCGTAGATTTCAAAGTCATATAAACAATAAAAATTTCGCTGATTTTACTATTTTTATCGTTTTATATCTAACAATTTCGGATTAGAATCTAATCGAAAATAATTGGATCGGGTAAAAATCTTAATTGTTAGATACGACTGCTTGTGTTTAAGAATAAAAGTAATTTTTTTAATGATAATATAGGACTAAGAAATAATGTACAATATGGTTTTGCAACTGAACATCTGAACATGAACTGTACAGGTTCAAGATCCCTGGTTGGCGCAGTTCAGGAGGAACGAAATGTTTGCGGCACATAGATCCAGTTGCTTTCAGGTCAGCCATCCCACCCTCTTATCCTTCTCATTATCCCCATCCTTGGCTTTAACTACCTTTATTCTTACTTAACCTACTAAAATATTATATTTTATTTGATTTCGAAAACAGAATTAAAAAACTTAAATCTAGAGATTACGATTAAACCGAAGATGTCTGTCTAAACTTTGAAGTCGGTGCGCCCGGTCTGAAAGTTAATGCATTTTTTTTAGCTGTTTGGAGGGNATATATAAATTTAGCTTGTCTGTTTGTTTATTTGTTTGTCCCCCATCTTTCTCCCACCTCCCCACTCTCCAGGAAAGCTTGGAATTTCAAAAAGATGGTTTCGGAGAAATCTCTAACAGGTTTCGTAGAAGCCAGCTTTGACTAAAATTATTTCCGAAAATTCTCTGAGTTTGCTCAAATCCACTTTTAGCTAGTACAATCTCTTTATAATGTACACTGTACAGCACAGTATAAACTACACTGTACACTGTACAGTACAGTATAAACTACACTGTACACAGTACACTGTACAGCACAGTATAAACTACACTGTACACAGTACACTGTATAGCACAGTATAAACTACACTGTACGCTAAAACACAGTATTTATTGTACTTTTCACTGTATAGAACAGTGTAGAAACTGTACTGTACTGTACTGTACTGTCTTATATATTCTTCGATTGTCTTCGATCAATTCATTGTTTTAAACCTGGGTTTGAGGTTTACAAAACTAACAAGCTATTACAATTAAGAACAAATATTGCTCGAAGTAAGATATTTCTCTGGTATTTCTAGATATTTCTATGATCAAGTTTGGACTAATATCTTGTATTTCTAGATATTTCTATGATCAAGTTTGGACTAATATCTTGTATTTCTAGATATTTCTATGATCAAGTTCGGACTGATTTTGACAAGGGTAAAGTTTGCAGCAGAAAACATAGGTAAAAACCTTATTCCAGAATAAAAGTTTGGTTTTCATTTCATAATCAGTCGGGTCAATATGTCCACGCGTTCTGTGTGTATCGCGTGACACTGATACTTCACTGCCATTGGTGGAAATGTTATCCACGTGATAAAGACGATCATATTATCAAATATATCTATAAAAAATGAACAAATAATGTATTCTAATTATAATAGAAGTGTACCTTAGCTGCTTATGAACCTCTGAGTTATTGTCATTTTTCAGATTCGTTGCGTATTTGCTAAATATGATCTGTTTATAACTTTGATTCTTATACCAAATCTCAAATATATAAGATTTGGTATAACGTTGACACAGTTTAATATCAATTTCTTGAGAAAGGAACATCAGATAGAAGTCATATAGGTCGCGATCAACTCCTAAAATGTTTAAGGTTTCAGCCTATACCCCACATTATTTTTCCTTAACAGCCCTTTTAAGCTTGCTTACATGTCGTCTTCTTCTTCCACAGTTTTATGGGTCTCCCTGCACTAAAATTATTTGTTGTTTAAATTTAAATGTTTTACAGTGAACGAAGTGAGAGGTGGTGGGCTGGACTTTTACAAACTGGAGGCAGAGACAGGTAATATGTTAGTAAAAATCCAGGGTGTGTACCTTCTCTAAAAATCTGCATTCCCCCCCCCCCCCCCCCCCCCCCCCCCCGCCCTTTTAAATGACCGTTGATATTGAGCTCTTGTTCGAATGCAATCGTCTCAATTATTAAATTGCAAAATTAAAGAAGAAAATAACTATTATTCCAAGGACTCTTGCAAATTTTTCCTTCATATTTAATTTCGAAAACTTATTTCTCTGTTTAATTTGAATACTTTTCTCCCCCCCCCCTTTGAAATTTAATTTTAATTAGATTTAAAGGTGAGTCTTCTTCTTTCTTGACACATCCACCCAAACACAATTTGTAATTTTCTTTTTCTCTTTTCATTTTTAAACTTCCTTTTAAATATTTAATTTTAATGTCTTTTCATCTTGAAACTTATGTTTTGAACTTTATTTAAATTCTTTTTTTAATACATTTTTTGCTGTTTTATTCAGTATTTGTTTGTCTTTAATTTATCAATTTTCACAATTTGCAACGGTACCCTTGAAAGCTTTATTTGATCTAGTATGAATAAGACATCAATGTTTAGAATTTTGGAAACTGGAAGAAGACTATGAAAAAACATTTTTTTCTTTTTTACACTTGTCTCTAAAACAGTTTTTCATATTCATATGTTCAATTCAAATGTTTTTTTTTTATCAGAAATGTTTTATTTAGAAATTAAGTTGAACTTGTGAAATTATTTTGAAATGAGATAAACTTGTAATATTAAATGTTGAATTTTTTAGCCTATAACACCCCCCGGCCACCCCTGAGTGTCCACAAAAAA